CACTAAGAGAATAGTGTCGGTAAATTTTAGAATAATTTCGGGAAACACGAGAGAATAGTGTCTAGAAGGAGGATGGGGGCGCCACACCACGGGTAAAAATTTACTTCTGGCTAGTGATGCATGGCCATTGATAGACCGTGCCAAGAGACGACTTCAAGGACTGTATGCCACTAGTCCACTACTGACGACTGGATCCTCTATGGCTAGATGCCGGAGACGATGGATCATCTCCTGCTAGGCTGTCTTCAGGCGTAATAGTTTGGGCAAGAATTCTTAACAGAGTGCACGTCGATCCATGACTTAGTAACGGTGCAGGAGGAGAGCACCATGCTCATCTGGTGGCTCCGCTAGGGAAAGTGTGCCAAAGGCGGCCTGGCATGGTTTCGACTCCCTGCTATTTCTTGTTTGATGCGTATGTATTTATTCCAATCTACATGTGTTGAAGTGAATTGAAGTGGAATTAAACTAAGTTCCATTCCATTTCACTCTAACACATGTGGATTGAGGTGAATACACATGTATACAAACAAGGCGGTGCATGATCTGGAAGGAAAGGAATGCAAGGACGCTCGGCGGCTCAAGTGTCTCGCCTACGGAACTACTGATCGTTCATGAGGTGAATGTTTGATTCTCTTATATGTTTGATTTGATCGTGTTTCGGCGCTAGTCTTTTTTGGTCGGGTCGTCGCACACATATTTTGTGTAATACTAACCTATGTTCTCTTTTATAAGGCGTACGCACATATCAAGACTTAAGCTTTAAAAACTTTGATGAACAATTAGACTAATAATTTTTAACTTTTACTAGATATATACCTGTGCGTTGCATGGGACTACGGATTGAATGGCAATCAGTTTATGTTTATTTTTTTTATAGATCCGCATACATGTACGTGTACGAGCGCATTCCTTCAATTATATTTTGTAAGTTAAAGTTAGTCACAGTGACATCACATGTCCTCACGTCCGCATGGCCATGCATGGACGTCGGTCACCACGCATCAAGTCACCGGCGCTTGGTAATTGCCGATCTTGTAGCTGGAGGTCTCATGTTGCTAGAGGCCACCACGCACTGTAGCTCAGAAGTCTAAATGGCTGCAGACTGCAGTCGCACCTGTGCGAGGTTATTCCTTCCCTATCCCCTCACAGACCCCTGCACAGCTGCGAGATTGCTCCTTTTCGTGCCCTTCCAAAGGATTTCCCCTCGCGTGCATGGCCGGAGGATACTGATATTCAGTCCACGTAGCGATGGCACAGCATAGGCCGAGGCGGGCAGATAGATCTCCGTTCGCTCCGCGCGTGCAGAGGAAGACATCTACAATCGGCCGCACCTGTTGGCGCCACTGTAACGAAGGACGGGGCGACTCCATCGAGCGGGGTCGGGGTGAAGCCGTGCGCAGACGCCGCTGCACGCTGGGTCATGCTTGTAACTGGGCGACGGGAGGTTGCCGATGCACAGCAATCGGTGCTCGCTGGACAGCCGGTGGAAGTGGAACCCAGACACCACGACGAAAATGCATGGCTCTGGCGTTAGCGACGACAGGGTAGCCCAATGCCGCGCGCCGCCGGGTTGCAGATCAGAAATCGCTTCTGTCTTAGCGCGAACAGCAGGAGACCGTCACGGGAGTCGACGAGATGCAATATCCCATCGAAGCGCATGGAGCGCCGGCAGCCCGTGTCGTGACCGTTGAGACGGTCAATGCCTGCGAGTAAGTTCTCGGAGAATATTCCCATCTTGTAGCCGTCCGGATAGCCGAGGAGCTCCCACGGCTGCCGGCGGGACTAGGCGGGGAGGAAAGTGGGACGTTGCGTCGCCGGTGCTTGATGATCCCGTACACTCCGTACATGCCTTTTGGAATTTAATTAAACCGATGAGCCCGGCCGTACATGTCTTTTGAATTATAAATAATGTGAGGCTGCCTACCGTTTCTGACGCGAACTTAGAATTGGCTTCGACACGGACTCTATACATGTTTGAGGACTCGAGTATACGTATTTGATAGTTTTTGTGGACGGGTAGTGTAGTCTTTGTAACCGAATAGTATACGGTTTTTTATTACAGGGTAGATGATTACTTTAGAGTTTTTTTTAGGTGTAGAGATATGCAATAACAAACTTTATAAGGTTAGATTTGTAATAAGGAATTGTATAAGCATAAACAATACTCCCTTCATATAGGTTTCTGTGGAAAATAAATAAAAAATATAAAATATTGAACATACGCTGTGGGCCTCCGGTAATCCATGTGCCAAGAGGTTTGGGCCAACTAACAAACAGGGGAAAGCGGCGCCGAGGTAGTTATTTCCCTCTCCCTCTCTCCCTCACTTGAACGAACATTCAATTCAAGAAATCGGCTTCGTCTTTAAGAACTCGCGAGCGCTCCTCTCTCCTCCTCTTCCTCGGCTGCCCGGACTCCGGCCACCGTCCCCGCCTTCCTCCGCCGGCCGGTCCATGTGCGCGAGCTCTTCAAGTCGCCGTTGTCTCAACTTCATCCACGCACTAGATCCGCCACCGATCGACCTGGCGAACGCGTCGTCATCCGGCCATCTCTGCCTCCCGCCACCCGCCTCCGCTTCTGGCACCCACCTCTCGTTTCTTGAGTTCTTGATCGATCGGGGTTTCTTTATGTATTGGCTTCTTCTTGATCGATCAGGGTTTCTTTACGTATTGGCTTGTTGCTTAGAGCCGGGTTTGTCCATGGTTTCTTGAGTTCTTAATCATTCTAATGCTCGTCGATTATGGTTTATTTCTTCTTCTCGTTAATGTTGTGTTAATAACTTAATATCTTGGGCTCCTGAGAGGATCCACTACTAGGTAGGTACAGTATGTTTAATATCTGCAATTCTGCACTATTTTTTATACGGCATACACGTGATATCTCCATCCATGGAATTTTAAAATTGTCATCTATCTGAATAAATTTGATCGACGACCTTATTGAATTTTAAAATTGTCATCTATCTGAATAAATTCGATCGACCTTCTTGAATTTTATAAACTTATGGTGTTTTGGAGGAGAATTGAGTACCTAAGGCATAATGATCTAGACATCTACAAGATTATGTTGCACCTCATGGCGCCGTACCATGGTTGGAATTCACTAGTTATGCCCTACCAAATCTTGATCCCAGGTAAACCCGTCGGAGCCTATGTAAAAGTTGAATACTTGTATATTTTAGTTTACTTTGTCGTGTACCTAGAGCTAGAGCGACTGAACAGGAGAGATGAGAGGAATGAGAGTGAACACAAAGAATAGAATTGAGTGGCCATGAGGCCTCCCCACCTTGCCCCCCCCCTTTTATAAGAGGAGATGGTTGGAGGAGTTTTCATTTCTTGCCCCTGCGGGGCTTGTGATTACCAGTAAGTTCCCACAAATTACAACCGGTCTATAAACACTCGCAATTAAGCCCTTAGGTCTAATAATTGGGCACAAAAGCGGTTCTCTACATATGCCACACTCCAAACAGTAGCTCCTCAGGTATTCGGTTTTGGCAGGAACGTAACAACCAGACCTAGTAGCTAAAAACAACTAAATGCAGCCCAAATACAACTCAAATTTGGCTGCAAGGATCCCTTTTTAACTTCATATATGCGCCTCACTAAAAACTTCATCTCAAAAACCTTGTGGGAAAAAAACAGTATGGAGAAAAGAGCATGCACATGACTCTAGTACATAAAAACGTCGTCATGGGGCACTTTCTTCTTCAATTTATCCTCAGCATTCAACTTTTCTTGAACCTTTGTGATTCCGCCTTTGATAACCTCCTCCGCATGGGCATGAGCCCTTGATAGCTTCACCTCATAATTGAGCCTTTGCCGAGGTAGTCAATGTGGTCAAAGTAGGCGAGGTAGGCACAATGTCTTCAAACTTTCGCTCATGGTTGCTAGGCAAGGTGTCACACCCCTAAATTTGTCATTTTGGGTTGTGATTGAAAAGACTAAACTAAATGGATGATTTTATCGTTTTCTCTAAAATTTTGAGATCTAGTTAACTTGTTGACAATTTGATACAATGAAAAAATTGTGAATTTATAAAATATTTTTAGAATATAATTTAAATTGTTGTTATAATTTATAAAATATAATTTAAACTAATTTGATTTGAAAACAATATATATATTAAAAATCTCGGTTACGCCTAGAATAGGTTTTGTTCTATTCTCAAAAGTTATGTTTCAAACTTTTTTTAAAAGAATATGTATAAAAAATATTTCTAAATTTGCTTTAAAAAATAAATAGTTTTAAATATAGTTTAATAGTCTACTTTTAGTTTTTTTAAAACGGTTTTAAATCTCAATCCATTGTACGGACAAAATTCTTTCAATCTCAAGTCACATATCTCTTTATCCCAATTTCTCTATCCATCTCATACGTGGTCAATTTGGGCTAGCAATAACAATTCCTACCTATTTTGCTTTCTTTTTAATCTTTCGGTCCTATTGCTTTGGACGTAATTAACGATAAAGCCTTGCGTGAATCAGCAGCCCACCATATCCACACGGTTGTCCAACATGTATTATTTATTTGATCTAGCTGCATCCGTCTCCGTTGGCTGATCAGTCTGGAAAAGCTCAGCACCAGAGCGATCAGGCCAACAAGCTAGGCACCTCCTCCTCTCCTTTCCTGGCGAGGACAGTTCCATGGTGACTTAAATTTTCCTATTTTAGATTTTACATGGGTGGATCTTTACACATTTGACACATAAAAAAACATAGGTGTTTTGCTATAAAAAACAGTACGTCTCCTTTTTTTTCGCCGTATTTGTTTTGAGTTGTTTCCTTGTTTTGTTTTCCACGTCATCTATCCGCGTCCGACTCTCATACAACAGAAAATAGAATCAATCACCCGTTATTCTTCAGTCCCGATTCTATAAATCCAATAGACCAATACCCGACACAGTTGAGTTTCCGGATGCTTGGTGCTTGCTACAAATCCAAGACCCTACAGAGTTGAGTTTTTGGTAGACAAATATTGTTAGGTCTCCCGGCGCCGCAGTCATCATGCCTTGTAAACGCTGGGGACAGGACGACCGAAACAACCACGCCACCGCCGGCGGCGGCAGCCGGGGAAAGAGGTCGTGGTGGAATCGGCAGCACCTCTATCTGGTATTGGATGACTGGGACAAGGGATTCAGCCTCCACAAGGTCGACGCCGACAGCTTCGATTCCTGCTCCGGCTCTGACGACGATGACCACCTGGGTCAGGGTGTGGTTGCTCGGCACCTCCCAGAACCTCCGGCCCTGCAGGTCGAGTCACCATCTGGCCGTAACCAGGCCGATACCGGCATGACGTTCTCGGCCATGGGCACAAAGATCTTCGTCTTCATGAACCGGCGCTGCGGCCTCGTCTACGACACCGACACGGCCGTGCTGGCCGTCGGCGCGCACGCCCCTGCCAAGATGGTCTGTGGCTTCGGCATCTCCGTTCCCGTCGGCGACGTGCTCTATCTATTAACATACCGATACTTCGACAAGCACGGGCACCACTCGTTCGAGGCAATGTCGTGGGCGCCCACCGGAACCGCCCCCGACGACGCCGGCAGCTGGTCCTGGAACACTCTGCCGGCGCCGCCGCCCACGTTCACACCCGCCAGCGCGTCGTCTCCCACGCCCTGCACCCGGACGGCCGCACCATCTTCATGACCACGAGTAACAAGGACACTCCCGGCGCTCCGCTGGGCACCTACTCGTTCGACACTCAGGAGGCTGCGTGGAGGTGGCACGGGGAGTGCGCCTTGCCGTTCGTCGGCCAAGGTCACTTCGACGCCGAGCTCGGCACGTGGGTCGGCCTTCACCGGGAGGGATACGTGTGCTCCTGCCAAGCTGTCTCCACCGACTTCGTTAGCACGAGGCCTCTCGTAAAACGCTTTGGGTACGTAGATCCAAACGTGTACTTGGATTGCCAGACCACCAAGGAGAAACTGTTCCGCAAGGATCTCGAGACGTCCATGGGAGCCACTCTCACTTCTATGGGGTCATCTAGATTTTGTCTTGTCGAGTGCGTGGCGTCGAAGAAAGTGGGAGATTCTGATGGACGTGTGCTTCACATGACCATGTTTGGTCTCAAGTATAATGACAAGGGAGAGCTCCAAACCACAGATCACCGGTCCACACGCTCCTTCATAGTGTCTAGGCATAGGGGTCACTTTCGTCCTTTTGCATTCTGGATGTAGAAGCAACATGTTTAGATTGCTGCAATTTGTGCTGTGCCTCCTGAGTCCCCTCGTTCCTGTCGCGGCTTGTCCTGTTGCAATGACGAATCTAATAGATAGTTTTTTATTGCTGGGGAAGTTGTGTTGATCTATGTGTGTTTTCTCATTTGCAGGAGTAAAGAGTTATTGATGTTTTAATGATCCTACTACTGAAATGTATATTGTGTTGGAAGATGCCTATGGTAACATGTCCTAGCATTTGAGATGTGATACTCTTGCTTTTAGAAAGCATGCAAAATTTAGCTAGCCATTGGACTTCATATCTTCATAGTTAGTTCTGTTGGATATATTATGGGCTTGGTCCGTATAATATTTAATAAATCAAATAAAATTTTATGGTACGTAACATTAAGCGTTGTATGATTTAATACCATACGAGATTTTGACTGAACGTTGACTCAGCATATATGGTTAGAAATTATTCATCTTAATTGAGAAGCTGAGAAAAGGACATAGGCGTGCCACACGCGCGCGCGACGCCGCCGGCCGGGCCGGGCCGGGCCGAGGCCGTGGCCGTGGCAGGTGAGCGAGCGGGCAGGCGTGGCCAGTCTTGTGCCACTTAATACACATAATTACGGGAGTTTTCTCTCCTTTACGGTGGAGACGAGGTGATTGCGCCGTTTCCGTTTCCCCGTCTCTTCGTGTCTCCATCTCCTGGATTCCTCCGCTGGCTCTCTTCCTCCCCGTTGTAGGCATAAAACAGAACGTCCTCCGTCAGTCCTTCCGCAACCGCTCCCGAGAGAAACCACATCTCAGTAGCCCTGTGGCTTCCCTGTCCGTACCTCTGCGCGCACGGAGTAGCGGGAGAGCAGATACCTCCGAAACCCTTGTTCGCCTGAGAACCTTGCACGGGGTGAGCGGCGATTAGGTTTTTGGGGAGCGATCCACGACTGCTCGTCCACGTACGTCCTCTTCCTGGTGGTGATCACTTTCGGAACCCGTCTTCTTCCCGGTGATTGCTTGCGGAACAGCAAGGCGTCTTTTTCTTGGTGACCATTCGTGGGACTGCACTGCGAACATCTTCCTACATCGACTGCGGTCCACGACTTCGAGCAACGCACTATGTCGACTTATGCGAATGGAGCCTCCGATGCCCTCGGCATGGGACCCTCCGCTGGGTACATTCTTATCTTTATAATTACCATATTTTGCATTCTTACTGTATCGATCTGTATGTCATGTCTGCATGCTGTAGCGTTCGTTAGCGGTATACACATGCACATATATGTCGTCACAAACCTGCTGATGTTATATTTCTGAATTAAATTGATCATGAAAATGCCTAATTATCTAACAATTCAAAAACCTAATCTTATGCAATTTTCTGTCAGTGATTTTGCTGCTGCTTTGAAGCCAAATAATTTTGATGGCAAGAATTTCATGATATGGCGTGCCAAGATGGTATTGTGGTTGACTACGATGAACTGCTATCACGCCGCACAGGGGAAGCCTGAACAGTTTACTCCTGAGGAGGAGCAAAAGTTCTTGGCTGCCGATAACCTATTTCGAGGCACCGTGATTAGTGGACTTTATCCTAAGTATGAGAAAAACTACATATCTTGCACATCAGGCAAAGAGTTATGGGATGCTCTTGAGGCAAAGTTTAGAGTTTCTGATGGTGGTAGTGAGTTGTACCTTATGGAGCAGTTGTATGACTACAAAATGGTTGAAAACCATTCTGTAGTCGAACAAGCTCATGAGATACAGGCGCTAGCAAAGGAACTAGAACATTTTCCATATTTGTTGCCCGACAGGTTTGTGGCCGACGGTATAATCGCTAAACTGCCACCTTCTTGGAGGGATTTTGCTACTTCTCTAAAACACAAGAGACAAGAGTTTAGCGTGGCTAAGCTTATTAGATCTCTTGATATTGAGGAGATGGTGAGAGCAAAAGACAACCGTGGAAAGGGAGTTGAGTCTTCCGCTGTCAATATGGTGCAGAAGAAAAACGCATTTGCATCCCGTAATAAAAAGAAGAAGAACATGCAAGAGAACAACAATGCAAAGCTTAAGCAAACTGCACAGTTTAAGAAAAAAACAACAAGAAAGGTGGATGTTACTTTGTTTGCGGGAGTGATGAGCATTGGGCAAGTGCGTGCCCAGACCGTAAATATAAGCAAGAACAGAAATCAGCAAACGTGGTGATTAGCGAGACTAGAGGAGGAACATCTGGGTATGGTAATTATTTACCTTTTGTTCTTTTAGTTTGTCTTTCACCTGAGTGGTGGATGGACAGCGGTGTTAATATTCATGTGTGTGCTGATGTTTCTTTGTTTACTTCCTATTAGGCTGGCAGGACTGGAGCCTTGCTGATGGGAAACGGTTCGCATGCACGTGTTCTTGGTGCTGGTACGGTCATTCTGAAGTTTACTTCGGGAAAGACGGTGCTATTAAAGAACATGCAGCATGTCCTCTCCATCAAGAAGAATCTTGTTAGCGGTTCTCAGATGTGTCGCGATGGCTTTAAAATTGTGCTTGAGTCCAATAAGTGTGTTGTGTTGAGACATGGAACATTTGTTGGAAAAGTTTATGATTGCGGAGACTTGTTCCGCTTATCTTTGCTTGATGATGTGTGTAATAAAGTAGTGAACAATGTTAATGTTTCGGATGAGTCGAATATATGGCATTCATGACTTTGTCACATTAGTTTTGGCTGTCTCACGCAGCTTGCAAATCTAAATTTAATCCCAAAATTTAACTTAGTCAAAGATTCTAAGTGCCAAGTGTGTGTGCAATCGAAGCAACTGCGCATGCCTCTGCTGAGGCGAGGAACTTGACACCATTAGAACTCGTTCAATCTGATTTATGCGAAATGAATAGTGAATTAACTAAAGGCGGTAGACGATACTTTATGACATTTATAGATGATTGTACTAGATTTTGCTACGTGTATTTATTGGAAACTAAAGATGAAGCGTTGCATTATTTTAAAGTCTATAAAGCTGAGGTAGAAAAACAGCTTGAGAAGAAAATCAAGCGTTTGCGGTCCGATCGCGGGGGAGAATATTTCTCAAATGAATTTTCTGAGTTTTTACGTGGTGCATGGAATTATTCATGAGTGGACACCATCATACTCACCACAGTCCAATGGGATTATAGAGAGAAAGAACCACACTCTAACTGATTTGGTTAATGCCATGTTAGAGACTGCGGGACTATCTAAGGAATGGTGAGGTGAGGCTATATTGACAGCGTGTCATGTCCTGAATAGAGTGCCCACAAAGAACAAAGAAATTACACCATTCGAGGAATGGGAGAAGAAGAGATTAAATCTCTCTTACCTACGAACTTGGGGTTGTTTGGCAAAGGTGAATGTGCCAATAAACAAAAAACAAAAGTTTGGACCAAAGACTGTTGATTGTGTTTTTTTGTTATGCTATTCACAACGTGGGTTATAGATTTTTAATTTTAAATTCTAGTGTTCCTGAGATGGCTGTTGATACAATCATGAAATCTAGAGACGCTACATTTTTTGAGAATGAATTTCCCATGAAAAATGCACCTAGCACGACTGGTCATGAATTTATAATTCCCCATAAGCATGAAAATTTTACTCCGATAGAACTAATTGAGCAACCCTATATGCAAAATCCTGAGGAGGATGACACTATAGTCACTAGAAAGAGTAAGAGACAGAGGACTGCAAAGTCTTTTGGTGATGACTATATTGTGTACTTTGTGGATGACACACCAACAACCATTGAAGAGGCATAATCCTCTTCTAATGCTGACTTATGGAAGGAAGCAGTACGGAGTGAGATGGATTCTGTTATGTCTAATGGAACTTGGGAAATAGTTGATCATCCCTATGGGTGCAAGCCTATAGGGTGCAAATGAGTGTTCAAGAAAAAATTTAGGCCTGATGGTACTATCGAGAGGTACAAGGCAAGGCTTGTGGCCAAGGGTTATACTCAAAAGGAAGGTGAGAATTTCTTTGATACTTATTCACCGGTTGCCCGATTGACCACAATTCAAGTTTTGCTTTCCCTAGCAGCCTATTATGGTCTCATCGTTCATCAAATGGACGTTAAGACAGCTTTCCTAAACGGAGAGTTAGAGGAGAAGATCTATATGGATCAGTCGGATGGGTTTGTAGCAAATGGTCAAGAAGGCAAGGTGTGTAAATTATTAAAGTCATTATATAGCCTAAAACAAGCTCCTAAGCAGTGGCATGAGAAGTTCGACAGAACTCTAACATCTGCTGGCTTTGTTGTGAATGAAGCTGATAAATGTGTGTACTATCGGTATGGTGGGGGTGAAGGAGTTATTCTGTGCTTATATGTTGATGACATACTGATATTTGGATCCAGCCTCAAAGTGATTGAGGAGGTGAAGGAATTTTTATCTAATAATTTTGAGATGAAAGATTTGGGAGAGGCTGATGTTATTCTTAATATCAAGCTTCTGAGAGAAGGTGATGGTGGGGTGACT